GAAGGAAGGAAGGAAGGAAGGAAGGAAGGAAGGAAGGAAGGAAGGAAGGAAGGAAGGAAGGAAGGAAGACACCATAGAGTCACTTGTCTGAGATAGGCAGCTATAGAAATTGAATAAAATAATTAATTAATAACCATGGGAAACCTAGAGACAGAGAAGGAGAAGATGCAATCATGGTGTGAACCACAATTGGCCTTTGCATCTGCACTATCCAAGATAGTGCAACAAGGCAAGAAAAGATTAGAGAGTCAGGGTGGTGCAGTGGTGAGGGTGTTGGATCACCACCGGGGAGAACCAGGTTCTAGTTCCCCTCAACCATAGGAGCCCCTGTGGCTCTATGGTGAACTCCCACCCTCATCCATGGAGATGACAGAGGGACTTTGAAGATATTGTCTTAGGAGAAGGGAGATATGGTTCAACCACAGAAGCTCTCTGGGGTAAATTCCATGGTTCAATTTCCCTCTTAGCCCAAGAGCCAGTGGGGAGTAGTGGTGAAGGTGCTGAATTAGAAATGGGGAGGCCCAGGTTCTAGTCTCTCCTCCACCATGGAAGCTTCTCAGGGGGCTTCAGGCCGGTTGTTCTCTCTCAGCCCAAGAGCCAGGGTGAGTTAGTGGTTAAGCTACTGGACCGGCCCTGAGGAAAGGTTTAATCCCCACCCTCCCTGGGGGACCGGACCAGTCACACTCTCTCAGCCCAGGGTTGTTGTGGGAAAAAATGGGAGGAAGAAGTACTATATATGCCACCTTGAGCTCCATACAAAAAAGCGGGATATAAGTCAAAGAAACAAATAGGGATGGGCGAGAGCTTTGACAAAGCTTCCTTGAAGCATCTTTTCTAAGAATTTCAACGGCAAAGCAGCCCCTGCTTCCAAATGTCCACCTTCATGGCCTCTCTGCTCCTCTTGGGCCCACAAATGGGGCTACTGCAGACGTGCAAAAGCCAGACTCAACCCTTCAGCCAACCAGAGCAGTCAACCTATCAAGGCAAAGCAAGAACCACTGACTATGTTGAGACGCAATACTTTGGCTAAAATGGAACAATTGCTTTATCCGCCCCTAGCATCCCAGGGCAATTGTTGATCCAAGACTTAAAATAAAGGGGTCCCCCCTTGGTTGCTCTCAACATTTTGGGGAAGGACAAGCACCCCAGAGGCATGTTATAGCAGAAGGGTAGACTCAGAGCTTTCTGAGTTTTTTCACCTGTTTCATTTCTGTTAAATTTACACCAAGGGTTTGCTATACCATTTTCCTGTGTTTCTAGCTTCCAAACAGTGGGAAATTGTGCCATCAATGTTCTGCAGTTGTGG